ATATTTTAACCAAGCTGCAGCATGGAAAATGAAATTATAGTGATCTAAGGGTCAGGGCTGGAAATGCATTTTGCAGTGGTGAAAAACAACACCAGCCAGGAGCATCCTGCTAATGTATGTGTTCAACCCAAGGCACATAAAACTGAGTGTAAAGATGACCAAAAAAAAGCAGCCCTGCCACGTTCAGCAATCAGAGCTGCTTTTCCTAATACTCAACAAGCTATGCAAGAAGCTTACTGACTGCTCAAAGCCAGAGCTGGCAGATGGAATCTACCTGGTAACACCCTCTGTGAACCTAAAAAGCTGTGGCAGAATCCATGTTCCTGTGGACACAACCTATAAAACAGCTGGGGACACTGAAAAGGTATTTTGCCTCTGGAGTGCTGACAACAGATTATAAAGACAGAGAGCAAACAGAATTATGTCTGGAGCTGTGCAGGGAGCAGTGCGCGTCGCTGCCAGCCCTCAGGGCACCCCCAGGGCTGCTCCTCACCGGATGGGTCAGGCTGCTGCTCAGGCTGCAGAACAAGTGTCAGTGAGTCAGGCTCCATTTCCTGCTTTATTACCATAAATAAAGTTCAGGTATCACATCCTCCAAGCACAGGGAGCTTCGATGTTTTCAAAAGGTCTCTTCTCTGGAATTCACTGGGTCTGAATGAAGCCAAGAGCAGCGCCCCGAGCTTCCTCTTGGTTTAACAGCCTGAGCTGAAAGCGCAGGAGTCTGATGCCTACAAGGAGCCTCACTGACAACATGAAAGATGTTTTCCCCACCAGCACTTCGCTTCTATTCATTTTACTTCCTGACAGATAAAGATAAAACACTTTGTTCTTCACCTCACACCTAACATAAATTAACAGGTAAAGTAACCCTGTCCTGCACAAGATCAGGAATTCTGAGAGCATAAAAGTTTTTGAGTCAGACCATAAACCCAGTTTGTTCCATATTCTGACAGTGCTCAGCAGCAATTGCTGAAGAATAAAAGAACACAAGTACAGAGTGATTCCTGCACTACTGCACGCCTCACCCAGCTTCAGGCAGCAAGTGGTTTTGAAGACTCCTACCTGCACCTGGCCCAGCTGAGCATGAAGCACACATGGACTTACTCCCCTGGGTTTTATCTGACCTCCCTCCTTCCCTGCAAACCCCTTTTCAGCCTTCCCACCACCCTTACTGTCTTCTGCAGCTGTTACACAGTGTGAACAGCCTCTACCAGCATGACTCTTGGGTTCATTTTGCTGTTATAGATGCAGAGGCACAGGAGCAAGGTCAAAGCTAACAAGCACAAACTAGCTTGTCGGGAGTAAATAGAGATGAAAATGAAGGCAGGCCTCCTGGCTCTTGATCCAGTACTCTCATAATGGTCTCTACTGCCTTAGGAAATGGAAAGCAAGCCCACTGCTCAAAAAAAGGGAAGATCCCTAAGGATATAGAAGAAACAATGCAATTAAAAAGAAAACAGAAAAAACAAAAACTGATGGCACTTTGATGTCGTAAGAGCCAAGGCTGGGCTCAGAAGTGGAGTAAAAGGTGTGCAGCAGCTAACCATGGGAAGCTGAGCATCTGCAAAGAGAGAGTAAAATGCAGCGTGGAGAATTCTTGGCAAACCGCAGTCTGAACCACTCAGACCATTAGAGCAGGCAGTTTTGTTGAAGCTCATGTGCAAGGACTGGCAGTGGGAGTGAAAGATGGGACTCAGAGCAGCTGCTCTGTGCCTGACATGTTGAACCAGGGTGGAAATCCCACCACCTGACTTGGGGGATAACATTAAATCCATTACAGCAGTCTGCCTTCCCCTGCTCATCCCACACAAGCTTCAGAAGTTCTGCTTTACACCCAGCTGCTACATGATCACTGCAGGCTGTCACTGGAGGGATAATCCTAAATTTTAAGTGACAGTTCACAGGCATCTCCTCTTTCTTCTGAAATGCTGTCTTACCCAGCACATCATTAACTATTTTGGAGATTAATAATTGCAGCAAAGAGTTCCAACCTTGGTGTCCTGGCGGAGATTTAGCAAAGAATGGTTTGTGTTTGAAGTCGTCGTGGCACAGGAAACATAAGAAGCCTTGAAGACCAGCAGCAAGCCCTGCACACAGCCCAAGCAGAAATCTGGGACGTGGGACACGTGCCCCACGTTTAGTCTCCAGGGCTCCTCACTGACGTGGTGTTTCCACTCCGAGCAGATCTTAGGGACCCTGTGAAAGGTGGAACCCAGTTTGAGCTCCGTTTAGATTAAATAGACCAAGCTCACCAAGCCTGACAAATTGCAACTTGTACTTTTGTATTCTTTGACCTGAATTAGACAGTAACTCGGTTGCATAATAAGGTTGTGGGCTGCTTTAAACCTCAAGTACTGAGGACCAGCTACAGACCACTCCACCAACTCAGGCTGGCAACCTCACTTGTCAGCTTGCAGGACACCTGTGAGGATAAACACACTGCTGACCACGAGGCTGCCTACACAGCAGCTCTACTCAGCCCACTGAGCACTTGCCAAAGGCTCTCACAGTGACATCACCTGCACTTTCCTGTCCACAGAGCTGTATTTTTTCCCCTCCAGTAACAATTCCTCCTATAGCTCCCCACACAGCCAGACACCCATCAGAAAAAGCCAGGAAGGCACCTTACTGGCCCCCTCCTCCTTTAGGTGGCATAAGCCAAAGCACACAGGAGGAAGGTTCCAAGCCCCCTCTGGGTTTGGTGCACCCTACATCAGTGATATGGAAAACTGACACCAAACTCTTCACACAGGCATGAGAAAACCTTGCCACAGAAACATCACCACGGTGGGCATCCAGGAGAACTTCAACTAACAGTACTGCCAAAACCAACACTGCTTCCTCCTGCCCTCAGCACCACACACTCATTCAACCTTTGTGCCACCACCACTCACGCAGCACCTCAGCACAACAAATCAGGGAAGCAAACTTCAGCAAGTAAAATCAATCCTGTTTTCCAACATCCACCCTTTTAACATTGCTACTCCAAGCAATTAAGTGACACCAGCATATTTTGCACAGCTTGTGACTGCAATTGTATTGCCCAAGTTCATTAGATACTCCAGTTGTTACAGGGATAAAGTAGCAAATTAATAGCTAATATTTATAAGATTATAAAATCATGCTTCCTTGAAGCAGTCAAAGCAGCTGACTTGGCAACTCCTTACTGCATTAGACAGCTCTACTTTCAATTAATAAGCAGAATGGTTGGAACAGTTTGGCCAAGCATTTAGAGCAGTGTTACTACTCCAGATATTGAACATCATGAGCATTGTGCCTATCGTGATAGCTAGAGATGGGTCAGAAAGGGGTCAGACAACCGTGGGACACCACCCTGCCCAGCTCACTGACACAAACAAAACCAAAAGAGGCGCTTTGGTGGGGTGTAACATTTCTGCATTTCAGCACAGCATGCTTTTCCACATTCTTTGAACACCTCAAACTGCCTTAATGTTCCTGAAAAGCAGTAGGCCTGGAGGCAGCTAGGGATAGCCTCAAATCTGGATTGCTGGTCCTAGCTAGAGGCAGCAGGTTCCCTTTTCCTCCTCCCTCCCTCCAACCAGTTGAGACCAGAGGGAGAAACCAGTGCCAGGTGCCTCAGGAACCAGGCAGCAGAGCAGCTCCATACCACTTCCCCCACTACACTCCCTGAGCAATATATGAACATGTGTAACTTCTGCACACAGCTGCGACCTCAGTGTGCAGGACCTCAGAGCTGGACACTCACCTTCTCTTAAAATCACAGGTCTGGTTGAGATTTTTGCTATCAGATGTGTGTATCACATCCTATGGCAATAAACTCAACACTTCAGCATCAATCCTCATCTCACACCCTTTGTTTTGGCTCAGCAAGATAACTTATCTCAATGCTCTGCAGCTCTCACGGGACTGACTGTAAGCCACCACCTGCTTACCCTCCTGATACCAATTATGGCCCGGATATTTTCCTCATAGTCTTACTTTTTCCAGCCTAACAGTTCAGGGCTCTCGCTAAACTGCTGGTGTCTGCTTAGATTTCAGTCCAGCATTTAGCACTGATTATTCTTTTGGGAAAGCAACAGCAAGTTGTTCAGTGTGAGAAACGGATCTTCAGTTACATTTCATCTGGAGTATGTTGTGCAGGACAGGGGCCTGGCTGAAAAACACAACCACTCAAATACATGCTTATTACTGTACTCATTAAAGAGCTCAGATCTCTGAAACACAGTGATAAAGCAAAAAGTTCGCTTTATTGCTAACAAGTCTTTCAGTGACCACCCCCTACTCTGATTTAGTCACACTGCCAGCAGTTCAGAAGCACTTTAAGTCAAAAGGTAAACCTGACCCTCAGAGGCATCTAACAATCCTGACTACACTCATGTTGGCCCCCTTTCTAGAACTGTGAGACCACATTAGGAGTGGCAAGGGACTTCTGCTAGGGCATGATCTGTCCTCTTTCCCACCACTGTAATAATATGACCGACACTAATGGCTTCAGGAGAACGTGCTACCAAGAGGCTTCTAATGGAGAAACCACTGCACTGTGTACCATGAAATATAGCTACAGATCAGCTGCAACATGCTCTGTAATATGCAGGTGCTCCCAGCCAGCTTTCAAAGAGCAGAGCCACACCTGTTGAGAGCTGCCCTGCTCAGCCCTCACTCCTACAAAATCACATACAGACTTCACAGGACTGCATTCCTCCTGGTCTGTGCTTTAAGGAGAGCTCTTTCTTTACAGCTGAGCCATGCTGTGTGATCAGACCTCTACTTTTAACCAAGATGCCAGCAGCTGACAAATTCAGAAAGTGTCTGAAATCCCACTGATCGTGCAGTGGTTTACCAGAAGCAGGTAGCAAGATGGACATCAATGAGGACGAGCCCAGAGGGCCTCAGGAGGAGGCCGAGCAGCCCCTCCAGCACAGCTTCGCAACAGCTCTCTGCAGCGAGCAATGGAGACACCTGCTGGGCTGACTCGTGTAATGCAAGCCCAGCTTCTGCACTGTGCAATGAGAGCAGTATACAACCAGTACATTTTAATTAAAAAATATCCACAAACATTTTCAAATAACCCCGAGTCTTATTATAGAAGTTCATAAGACAGTATTCTCCTCTGGAATGTATTTCTCCTGCGTTCCTCCTTGTTGATTCACATCCCCGTGCTATGCAGAAGCAGCACAACCCATTACAATCGCTCCAGCTCTAGAGCAGTACATCTCTTTCAAGCAACAGATGAGATGCTTTGCACTCTCAGAGCAGCCAACAAGGCCTGTGCTCCACACACAGCTCAGGCTGCAGAGCATTAGCTTTATTCCTTGCACTGTTACCTCCACAGGAGGGACTGTGACAAAAGCTCATCACTCCTACGCCTGCTCACAAGGATTGCCTGGACCAGCTGCCAGGGCCCTGCTGGGTGCTAATGCCTCTGTAGTCCTTGGGGCCTGCTTTGGAAGGCGAATGGGCACGTAGACATTGGAGGCACAGTGCTCCTTGAGGTATTCTCCCCCTTTTTCTTCATAGTCTTTTCTGGTAATCCAACCTTCCTCACGGGTCATGTGCTCCACTGCCCAATCCCGAGCCCCGTACCAGGCATCTAAAATGGGACTGGAAGCAAGGTGAACCTGGAAGGAAAAGACAACAACATCAAATGCAGGACAATCCCAGCTTGTTTAAGATCTGAACACAGGAGAGAAAAGCTCTTTTCACCCTGGTTACAATGCAAATCACAATTTCTAAAGTTTGAGCTGGTAATTCAGTGCTTCTGGAAGCAGTGTTAGGAAATGGTCTGAAGCATGTTTTCTCCTTCAGATCAATCCTCCACGAAACTGCTGAGTTTCTACAGCTTCCAGAGCACATGCATGCATCACGCTCACAACCAACAGCACTAGCAGCTCATGGTAATGCAAAACAAGCATCAAGTGCTCAGCAACATTTCCTACTTGCCTGAAGTAGCAAGGTGGAATTCTGCAAGCCAAGAAATCACACTGTGGGAAAAAGACTACACATGTGCTTTCCACGTGCTCTTTTTTCTTCTGGAGGAGATTCATGCTCCCATTTAAATTATTCTTATTACTGTAGCATAAAATGCTTCCTGCTGCAGCTATAAGCTGGCTGAACTAGGCACTCTAAGCACCATAAATAATATCTGTGAAATGACACATTTCTGATAGAACCACAGCACAGAACATTTTAATGGAAAGAAAACTCTTATTTTTCATAGGTTTTTAAGACACTTTTCTTGCTATTCCAGATAATCTTTAGATGTAAGTATACCAAGTAACTTCATTTTCAAATGAGCACACTTTTTCCCAGCAATGACTCCTAACAAAGGCTGCTTGTTTCAGAAAGTAACTGCCCCAATTTGCAGACATTTGGCCAAACGTGCTTTCTTGTGGGTGCACAGCCCTTCAGCTGAAGAAACTCTTCCAAGGCACTTCTACTCTTCCTAACGTATTCACAAAGACCAAGTGCATCATTCTTCCACCCTCATGCTCTTAGGTCAAAAGCTGCCATCTGCCTCGCCATAAAACAAGTGTTCTCCATTCCCATGCTCTGAGGACACCCGCTCTGTACTTCTCCCAGCCTGAAATATTTTTTAAACACAGATGAACAGGATGTTCATGAAAACATTCTATCAGTGTGCATACCTGAAAAGATGACTGGAATGGCCTCATTTCGAGGAGTTCTTTCTGGACTCTGGCCTTTAGTCCGGGGTACATTGCATTTCCACCAGTAAGAAAAACATTCTGCACAAGAACAGCTTGTTGCTCTTTTGAATACCTACAAGGAGGAAAAAACCCACAAATTCTGTCTTTTTTCAGGAACATTACTTCTCTGAACTGAACAGCTACGAGGGAGAAACAGTTTGTCTTCAAGATTCACACTTTGAGAAATTTTCTCCACCTCACAGGCATGAAACCCTGTGTTCATTAGGTTCTGTAAATTTAGGGGGTGGCAGAAGAAAATCCTCAAAGCACTCTGAACTGTATCCTCATAAATCAACACTTCAGTAGAGCTGGAGTTCTTTCTTTCCAGAAAATGTAATCTCATATACTCCTAGAGTTCGATAACTTACAAACATCACTGACTTTGGTCGTACAGAGACTGATACCTTATGTTGTAAGTGATAGGTATTTACAAGGGTTCTTTGTTTAGCCCACAACAATTTGGATCAGAGGTCTTCAAAGCAGGATGTGTGCAGGACAAAGCACTGCTGCATGGGAAGAAAGTCACTTTCACAGAACCATAAGGATCTCTTCCAAGCTCAGTGATTTTACCATTATCAAGTCCAAGCATCAGCCTAACACTGCCAAGTTCACAACTAAACCATGTCACAGAATCACAGAACGGCCAGGGTTGGAAGAGACCTCAAGGGTCACAAATCTCCAACCCCCAAAGCACAACATCCACACACCTCTGAAGTACCTCCAGGGATGGCAATTTCACCAGTTCACACAGTGCCCCAATGCCTATCCACCCTTCCACAAATGAATTCTTCCCAATATCTCATCTAAGCCTCCCTGGCACAACTGCAGGCCATTTCTTTGTGTCCCACCACTTGCTGCAAAACAGACCAACAGCCCCCATGCTGCAGCCTTGTTTCAAGCAGTCACAGAGAGCAATGTCTGCCTTCAGACTCCTCCAGTTAAATTCAGTTCCCTCTGCCATCTCTCATGTCATTTTATAGTTCCTTCACCAGCTTTGCCACTCTTCACTGAATGCATTGCTTCAACTCAGTATCTTTGCTGTGGAGAGGGGCCCAAAACTAGTTTTTGTAACACTGATATTCAACCTTTGTCATATCCTTTTTCAACTTCTACTTTATTTTACAATGTATACCTGCTAGTTGAGTAGCACATGTATCTAATTTATAAATAAATACACATATATTGACAGTTTAAAATTTTTAATAAATATGAGTGAATGCCTGAAAGAGTTTGAAGACCATTGACTCAGATGACCAGAAACTTAGATGTGGTTTTCAGAACAGAAAGGCATCTCTAACCTTCATCTCTAACCTCAAGCCTGACAAAAAAGAGCTACTCAAACATACTTTCTCAGGGCACTGTTAAATAACAAGTATTGCAAAAGCTGGTAACCAAACAAAGGCTTGTTTGAAGAAGGTGCCCAGTATCTCTGTGAACTCACCTTTCGAGGACATACTGCATCGTTTCTGCTATACCAGTTTGGTCTTCTCCTATCAGGGAGGGCTGGAAGATGATCTCTGGAGCCCTTATTCTTTCAGTGCCAAGAAAAAGTTGGTGGTATTCTGCCAGGTTAAACACGGGCTTTAGAAACAGGAGATTGAAAAGTAGAAAATTACACTAGAGAACAAAGGAAGCAAAGATTCCAGAGAATTCTCTACTAAAAAGATCATGATATTCTCTCATAGAAAATACCATGCTGCAAAAGGTTCCAGAAGGATACAGAAAATTGACTCTTTTTTTTTTTTCCTTATTTGTTACCACTCCTAAAGCTGATTTGTTACCAGTTCTAAAGCTCAGTTTCACAAACTGAAAGTTTTGTTCACACTGGACTGTGATACAGGCTATGAGTCACACACAAAAGCTTAAGCAGGACTGCTTCCCTAAGAACATGGCACTGCTACAACGTGCAGAGAGCTGACTGGGTGTACTCATGCTCAAACCATCAGTCATGACTGCGAGGACTCCTGCCTTGTGCACAGTTCAGAGGGTTAAGAATCTCTTTTACAAACAGAAAGCACTGTTTGTATTTGGAGAAACAGTCAAACAAACAGCAGGCAGCAACCCCTGACATAAGCTGCAGGTATTGAAGTCAAACCTGCACTGCAGCAACAGGCTTCTCAGCTTCAGGTTGTTCCTCAGCAAATAAAGGTTCAAACTCATTAATACTTTCAACATCTTCCAGTGACTGCTCGCTGCCGAGTGGATCCAAGTCAGGGGTCTGGAAACAGAATGTTCAGATCTGTTAGCCCAGATGAGCTAAGCACACGCACAAAACCAGTTCTGGTGACACGTTCAGAAAATTACCCCTGATTCCTGCACATCCAAACTCTCTACCATCCTTGGAAATAAATGTTGCTCCTCAGCACTGAAGACAAAGATCAGAATGATGACAACCCCTAAAACACGAGTGGAAAACTACACTCAAAGAATAAAAACTAAGCACTTTCAGACTTCTTTATTATTTTATCTTGAAGCCAGCTCAGAAATTAAAAGCCTTAGTCAACAGGTTGAATGCCAGGACCCTGTTAGCATAATAACATACTAAAGCTTATTAAAATAGCTTTTAAAGTTGGCTGAAACTTGGTGCTCTCCCAGCACCTCTAACCATTCTATAATTACCATTTAATTCCCTGCTTTGCTTGTGTGGGACTGGAAAACAAATATTTGCTAGCTAAAAAGCTAGCACGGTTTTTGACAGTTGCCTACTTGTAACTGGTTAGCATTTGCACATGGGATATAAAAAAAACTCCTTGCATTTTACACAGACATGAAAGCTGCTCCCAAAGCTCCTTCCTAATGAAAAGCATCACTCCAGATCACAGAACACTGTTGTGAAGGAGCAATTATTTTATTATCTCATTTATTCCTTCATTATAATGAAGTAGATTTTTAATTTCATCACTAAATATCTGGTTTTGCCTTTTAAGGTAAACATTTGTTACAACATTTAGAAAGCAATAGCAGGATGAGATAAAGCTAGAACATTTAAACCTTCTGAACATCTCATTTATCTCATTTAAAAGACAGGCAACTACTCCAAATTGAAGATGTGCGCATTGTGAACACAAACTAAAGAGATTATTTCCAACATTTCTGTCCTCTAAAGAACAAGAAATAACAAAGAACAACAACAGAGAAAAGCAGAATACAGCAGAAGAGCTGGCGCAGACCCCAAGACAACAGAATTAGCTTTTAGCTCCTTCACACAGCCACAGAGATGGTTTATCTTCACAAATGGATTCACTGGTAGCTGTAAGCTTTCACACAAAGCCCAGACCAAACAAAAAGGGCTTGCCAATTTATTCCAACATTTGAGACTACACCTTGTAAACAAGAGGAGCGTCTGATCCAAAACAGACGTGTTGGAACTTAGGCACAGCCACCTGGCAGAGCTACAAGCAGCCCACTGACATTCACCTCTTTCTAGAATGCTGGTGAAATCCACCATAACCCCATTTGGCTCACATGCATTCATTCTGATTCTTACACAAACTTTCCTGATAAGGATAGAACCCAGTAGAACCATCTCACTGGCTACTTTTGGCTATGTCCCAGGTTCTATATAAAACATGCTCTTTCTGGCATCACTCTCCTCCACGCTTCATTCTTGTGTTTTCTTCTCCAACTCTTCCTGAGCATAGACAGATAAAACCGAAAATGATCTTCTGTGACTTGCGAGGCAATTAAAAGCAAGCGTAGAAATAGATTTGGACCATCCCTTAGAAGCAGCTGCTATGTGCTGGGCAAAACAGAAAGTAACTTTCTCTTCTCAGAGAAAACTCCAACAACCAAGCCTAGCACTCAACCTTTTATATCTGAGTAAAAAGAATAAAGCATGCTGCTTGACTGCACCAGAACCATACCCTAAACAAACCAAAGGGTTGGCTGCTTACCATAAAGTTCTCCGCATCTGAAAGCAAAGAACAGAAAGGCAGACAAATGTTTTTTAAAGCCTAACAGTTCCATACCTTTAATGCTACATTACAAATATTTAAGGATAGTCTGACCTACTACTGTAACAACTTAAAACTCAAGTACTTACAGTCCAATGTCATCAATTTTCTTAAAAAAGCAAAAAGTGGACCTGATGCATTATAGATTATTTCAGCAAAAGTAATGCAAAAGTAAAGACAGGAGTTAGCTTGCAGTACAAACAAGATCAATATGTTACCTGCTGCCATTTACAACCCTGTAAGCAAGCCATCCTTCAGCAAGAATGCTGACTTGCATATGCTGCCAGGAATAAGTACAAATGGAAGCAGTTGTATCTTCAGATGATCTTATCTTTTAGGGCTGTTTCCTTTCTTCCCCAGTTGAAGTCTTTGAGGAAGCTTACTGACTTTATATAACTGTGCACTTTAACCAGTGTCAGCAAGCCTAGAGATTGTGCTTAGAATTGTAAGAAATCAAACTGTAAGATACATCCCAGAACACAGTGCAAGAAGGGTTACTGATCTTGGGCATACTCTTAAACACTCATAACTCCAAATTTCTGTAACTGCATTGGAAGGCCCCAAACAGGAGGAGCAGCTGCCAAATCAGCAAGAAGCATGTTAAAGGGAAACCTTAACCCATCAATAATACAGATACTTACAGATAGAGAACACTTTAAGACAGAAACTTAACTCTCACAGAGATTAGAATCAGATTAACTTGGAGAAAACATACCTCTGGTTTGCTGTCCACAACATCCACTTCGATATTGACTTCTGCCTGTAGGATTTTTTGTTTTGTCTGTTCAATGGCCAGGCTCAACTTGTTGATGTAAGACTGAAGTTCCTCTGCAGAGTCCATGTTCAGCTCCACTAAAGCTTTGTGGAATTGATCCATTTGACCATCTTCCAGAAGTTCCTACAGACAGATCAGAGCAGGCTGTGATGGATGATACATGGTAATCAAACACACACTAGCTACATATGCATACCTTGCCCTTGTTATGGCAGACTCTGAATGTGCAGGCTCTGCAGCATTCAAAATACCTCACCAAAAAAGCGCTATTCAGAACTTGCAGGTATCTCCTGCATCAATTCTTTTTATTCTGTGAGTAACCTCAGAGATCTCCTATCAGAAAAGGCAGAGGATGGTTACAGCTTCTTTACAGCGATGCAGGACTTTCTAGAAAAGCTGTGAGGGCAGCCTGCACATCTCCCAGGAGACTTGACAAAAAACTGCCATCATTACCTGTACATAGAGCAGCCTGTCCAGCCTCTCCTGGTCCAGCTGCAGCTTCTCTTCTCTACGACGTGCATTGAGTTCCTGAAGTCTACGTAACTGCTGCTGCCGCCTCTCCTGCTTTTCTTCTGATGTCAGAGTGCTCCCCAGGAGTTTGTTAGAGAAGGGCAGCTGCATCTTGTGCACGTTGTTCTCATAGTACTCTGGTGAGCGCCACTTCTGTAGTTCTAAATATTTGAGAAGTAAAAGAACCATTTTGGCAGGTTGAACAGGATGATTCACACTCTGTACATGCTCCAAGCCACGTTCAGACTTAGGAGAACACAGGCAACAATCCAGCCCAGGATTCTGCCCACTTCTTGGCAGTCACTCCAAGAGTTATTTAGCTGCCTCCTCAGAGAACTGCCTTTAAGTCACACTCAGCACAAACGGTTCTTAGCACTCTCTTCTCCAGGACGAAGCAAAGCACTGAGAAGTGGGAAGCATGCAGCCTCTTCTCTCTTTCCAATTTGAGAGCTCTCACATGTTTAAAACCACCGCAGGCTCTTTTGCATGTGATAAATTGAAGAAAACACTACTCTGTGGCCACTACTTGAAAATTGTCATGGAGATTTTAGAACTTCATTAATTCACAAAGAAGTCATGAGAACTCTCCTCAGCAATTTTGGAAACCTTAAAACAGATATGCAAAAACACCCACAGGGGAGAAACGTGGTCAGAAACAATCCCAACCATCTGAGCTTTCTGTTGGAAGCACAGAGTAAAATTACTAATAAAATAAATTCATTCTGACATCTGTAGAAATCTATCACTCACAAAGAAGTCTGAACTAACAAGGAACAGATTTCTAAAATTCAATCTTGTTTCACGAACTCCTGCAGAACTCAAACTGCTAATAAGCTTCTCACACGTAATGGATTACAGAACCCTCCTAAGAAAAATAAAACAGCAGTGGAGCTTTTGTACCTGAATCCAAGTAGAACCTGATCAAGGGATAAAGGGGCGCAGAACCAAGGTTCAGTGAGCACTACTGATCAGTACAAGAAGTTACTGCTGGTTCTACCTTCTGTATAGTCCTCCGCAATGTAGCTGTGCTCATGAAGTATTTCCTCCATGCGACTGAGAGTGATGGCAGCAAAGTGCCCGGGGTACTTCAGCTGGAGGAGGCGCTGCAGGTACACAGCTGCCTGACAGCCTCCAAGATTGATACGCTTGCAGTTTTTAGCATCCAACCTGGAAGTCCAAGAGAAACAACCGAAACTGAAGAGCAGTTCACTGTGAAAGAGACCTCCTGTTCTATTCAGCGCTATCATTTTAACATGGTCAAGTGGGGAGATACTTATGAGTAAATATTTTAAGAACTTGGAAGTCTTAACACATCTTTTGGTTTTTTCAGACAGCAGCCCTAAGCACTGCATTATTGCTTGCAGATGCAATTCTGGAAGGCTCTGTTTTAAAAAGCAAACAAATTAACAAACAAGAAAGCAAATAATTTTAGCTATGGCAACAAAAAGATATTGTTCTACTTTAAGAAGGGAAGCTATGATTCTGGGAAGCTAAAAGTAGCCCCTCTGGCCTACGTATGATTCCCAGTTGGCTAGGTCTGAGCCTTACAATTGGAAGCCTTTGCCAGATGTCATCAAGCCTCTTCCTGCAGTAAGGATTACAAAAAAACAAAGCAAAACTGAACAAAACCTGAGCAATGGGGCCAAATAAACAGAATGATGAAAGTCTGGAGGACTGTAGAAATCTCACAGAGTGCTTTTTTTTTTTTTCCCAAAGCAACTTTAAAACCTAACACTTTTTTTTTTGTTGTTGTTGCCAGGTCGTACTTAGGACAGATATCCTCACCTACTTTTTAAGTATGAAACTAAAATATACACCAGGACAGCATTGATTCTTCAATTCAAAATTCAACTGGAGTAGTATATTGCTCTTCAATATAAATTAGGACCTAGTAAGAATTTGTACTGCGGGAGCTGTAAGGCTGAATGCCAGAGGAATAGGTATTTTTACCACTGACAAAATGAACCTAGTAGGCATCAGGACACTAAGAACTCACCTCCCTTCTAGGACTGGCAAAATATGTGTACACTGATAGCCTGAAGATATCACCAACCCACTGCAAGGCCAGTTCTGCCTCCTGTTGTGGTAAAAGCTGTACAAGCTATCCACACCATAGGACACTTTAGGAACTTGATAGCATTCAAAGAGGAGCTCTGACATCATTTGCCTTGAATACAAAGGATTGCACACTGCTTCTGTCAAAACTATTGGATGATCAACGCAACCCTGTAAGAGACAAGAGAAAAGGAGGAAAAACAAGATAAGATGGACAGAAAAATCCAGAGATACCTTTCCTCTTTTTAAAGATCAGCTTCAACTCCTCCAAACAGCAATGAGCATACGCTTTATGTGCGGGCTACTGAGCACTTACGTTACACCCAGTGCTCAAGGGGAGAGTACTTGCCTACAGGTGGGTTCCCCCTACTAAATCAACCAAGGTATAAACTCCAAAATGTGAAGAAAAATGGATTTTAAAGGTATACTGAGTAAGTGGAACACGGGAACCATCATGCAAACACATGAAAGAACTTCACCATGAGGGAGCAGGGCCACGGGACAGAGCCTGCTTTCCACACGGGTTGGACTCCAGAGGTCCCTTCCAACCCCCACAGTTAAAGACCTAATTAACCAAAATCTATACAAGGTGGAGGCAAAGCATGACTGGAAACTGCATTCAGTCCAGCCCTAGGTAAAGCTTTTGCATTATGTGGCTTCAGCAAGCTACCTAGGCACACAAAACATTTTCAATGGAAAACGAGCACATTTCTAGTTAAGGAAACCGCATGAAGTCGTCAAACGTTTAATCTCTGTCTCAGGAGGCGATCCCCGACGGCTGGTACCTGCGAGGAGATCCCCAGGCGCTGGAAGACGTGGTCGAAGAGCAGCTCCTGCAGCTCCAGCTGCACGGGCACGTTGCGGTCGAAGGGCGAACGGAGCAGCCAGCGCAGCGGCTCGGGGCTGCCCAGGTCGTTGCCCACCTGCGTCTCGGCGCCGGCCGCCCCGCGCGCCCCGCGGCTGCGCGCCGCCAGCGAGCGGAACCGCAGCAGGGGCTCGGTGGGGACCGAGGGGTCGGCGGCGGCCCAACCCGCCCGCGTCTGGAAAGAGCCGTTGTCGATCACCAGCGGCACCGGCTGAGGGCTGCGCACGGCCGCGCTCGGCGCCAGCACCGGGTCCGGGGCCCAGCGCGCGTCGCGGAAGGCGAACACCCGCCCCGCCGCCATCTTGGGCGTCCGCACCGCTCCGGGCGGCAACGCGGGCCGCGCTCGGGTTCCGGGCTCTGCTCTGCTCTCAGAGGAGGACCGAGGAGGACTGAGCTGAGCTACAGAGCCCGCAGCCCCCCGCAGAGTGACACAGCAGGATCCCGTACCGTCGTAGTTTGCAGTAGCGCTAAAAACGAGGTCCCAAAGAAGCAGCGAGGCGAGGTGTGGCCACGCAAAGCCCACAGGTGGATGAAACAGCGCTGATCGCTGCTTGCTTGTCCTTACCTGGTGATTTGGAGGACCCTCGAGCTCAGCTTTTGTTCATCACTATTTATTAAGGAATTTTAGCATCTTCCATCATGTGCAGTTTAATTTGACCCATAAACCTCTGCTGCTGCACAGCAGTTAACAGAGCAGCACGTCTGTGTGCTCGGGGAGAAGCGATGAGCACCAAGTTATCAAAGCCACCTATCTGCTCCTAACTCAGCTCCCGCTGGGCTCCTTTGTGAGGCAATGTATACAGAGATGCGTGTCCTATGAAGCATGCTAGCTTGCTTTTCTTGGAGTGAAGGGAAACAGGAAGGCAATTAATATTAAAGTATATTAAAGTATATTTTCCCAATGGATTCGCTAATAGATTGAAATATGCAGAGAAGGTTAAAAATGGGATCTGTGTTAAGGTGGGAAGTACATGTACTCCATGTCAGACAAGAGCACTGGGATAAGCATTTTTTAACTAGCTAGTAGTTATGTTCTAAATATCTGCAAGCCTGATTCTGTGTTGCTGATTTCTCAGAAGTTACCTTCACTACCAGTTTCAAAGAGCAATTGAAGTGCTCAGTTATACCCCTGTATTGGAAGATATAAGAATCCCTTTACCTACCATTTTAACATCAGCCTTGAAGGCTTTCCAATTTATTCTTATCCTGTAATTACCAGCTGAAGCAGTGACAATCAAATCAGATGTTTTCCCAGGTCTCCTTATCCCGTGCTTAATCTGTTTCACCCCCTCCCTGCCCTTACAGGGCTGTTCCTTTTGCAATCCGTGCTGAGGATACCAGTGGTCCTCTTGTGATTAACACAGTGATGCAATCAGAGTTATAAAAAGGTAGTTAGTAAAGAACAAGCAAGCTGCTCTAAACTTAGATTAACCTGAAGCTAGCAATGAAGTATCCTCCAGTTCCTTTGGTGACTGAGCTGACTTTGCCTGTTTTCTTTTGCCTTTCTTTGCCATATGTACTAACACTGATCATAGCAGTGATCTGGCTACGGCTCTTACTTAATGAAGGTAAGTTCTGCAGCTGATTGGATGCGTGCATCTGTAGAAAGGCTTTGTCTCTATTAACTTCATCTGTAAAGCATTCTGTGAGCTACTTTTAGCCTAATGCCTCTCCTCACAGAGGGAAAATAAGCGTGGTTTTTGTTTGTTGGTTTTGTACTTTCGGTGGCCTACAGGAAATCAAATGATCACACTTTTCTGTTAAAATGCTTATAAGACTAACTCCTGCTAGCTGCTTCTTTTTTCTTCAGAATTAATTCAATTTAAGAGAGATAAAAGTCAAATAACTTTTGTAGATTTTATAACTATTTAAAAGAAATGGTTCCTAATAATTTGGTATGGTTTCAAACTCCCGCATTATAGTTCATCTCTGCGTATTTTGGGGAGGGAGTGGATTTTATCAGGGGAGTTGTTAAGGGCTTCTCTTATTAATGCTGAGTCTGATTAAAAAACAAACAAACAAACAAAAAAACCCAGTTTCTTAAAGAAGCAGGATGTGCATTTTCATTTATTTACTTTGTATCTCTGCTCTACCACTGCTCTTAATTCTAACATGTCAGTAACTAAGAAGCTTTGGTTTAGGCTAATAATAGGCTTGCTGATGTGCTCCTGGGCATAAAGCTTGGGCTGGTTTTGCAAATCCTGGAACATGAGCAATTGCAGCCAAGGAATCAATCACAAGTCGATTCCAATCAGAAGCAGTAATTCTGCCTTTTACGGACAACTGTAGGAAGGAAAATAAGAATAAAAGCTGCCTTCAACAAGTCAGGTTCTTACTTAACGTTGTGGTAACCTGTTCTATAACAGATCCTACAGGAGACAACCAAATGATTCCTTTGGACCCACAGGCAGCAGTGGAGCAGAAAGCATTCACCACAGCTGAGGCTTCTATTCTAATCACCTTTCCTGCCTTGCCTTTGTGTACCCCTGCATTTTCTGACTCTCTGTGCCTATTTTTCAGTTTTAATGTGCAAGTGATGCTCAGAGAAATCTCTGCTTGTTGCTAGCTGTTTCTCCATACATCCACGTGCACTCCTGTGGATAAGCAGTGACAGTGACTAAAGAGTGTAGGCTCTATGGAGCTATGATCATGGCACAAACTACCTAAGTAGCATAGGCACGGCTCACTTCTAGTGTCTGAAAAGCAGAATAAAATGACCACGTGAATTGTGTAGGTAAAGGTTAGCTGTGCCTTGTTCTAACATTGAGTTTGGCTGTCAATTTTTTCCTGGACAGAGTAACTCTGAAATATTTTGATGCCTCTATTGATGTAAATTTTTTTCAGGGTACGTGCACTGCATTTACCTTTATAATACCAGGCCCCAGGATGACCATTATTTGCATCAGGCTTCCATGATCTCAATTCCCTTTCAATCAGTAAGACGACATATATCACTAAGCTTTGATGTACTCTGTCACTCTTAAGAAGCCAAACAGAGCAATGCTCTTTTTAATGTCTTCTTGCCTAATTAAGTCATACCCACTTGTTTTATTCCCTACTCGTTCCTAGTGTAAAGTGGCATAAAATAAGTGCATAACTCAGCTTTGACTTTAATGTAGTTGCTGATTAAAAACTAATTGGTTAAAATAAAACACTTGCATAGGCCTCTTGTTGCCTAGTTGGGATTGAAAATCCTTAATTCCAGGTAAAAGGGATTCAGAAGAATTTTATCCAGCTCTTGGATAGAACTACTAACTGTAATGTAACAGATTTCAAAATCTATTTCCAGAAGAGATGCCTCCTGCAGAAGAAACTAAGAAACAATCTCTGATTGCTGATGTGTCTCATTCTGAATCTAAACTTGAAGATGAACCAACAGATGATGAAAGCCAGGATGACACAGCAAGTCCAGAATTTAAAGAGGACAAGCAATCTAGTGGCCCTGTGGGACAACCAAGGCCCAAACCTGCTTATCTGAGTTCAAAGCCAAAAGCAAACTGCCATCTCAGAGGGCTGGTCCCAGAACCAAAGATAAAACCCTCCCATGTGGGAAGGAGCGTTCTCTGTAACATCACAATGGTGAGTGCACGACCAGACTATCTCTTTGCATATCTGTTGCTTTTGTGCCTCAGCTCGTATTATTATTTTGTTCCATCTCTGCCTGAGATATCTTCAAGACTGGTTTCTGCTTGGTTAATGAACAACGAGAGGTTTTCTCTCCCTGTCATCCCTATTTGGAATGATTCCTGTTGTATACCAACTGCAGGGAGTACAAAATTGAACAGAGTATGTATAAAATTGAACCATACATATGTATAAGTGTGTGTGTATTATGAAGGTATGTGTACATATTTGCAAAGTCTTTAAGAACTGCATGCAGTTCTTACAAATCCCAAAAGATATGTCCGAAAGAGTGGAAGAGATCAGGGTTGTGTGTGGCTTCTTTCCTTGCTCTTTGTATGCCCTGCTGCAGCAGGGGCTCAGAAGGCAAAGCTAGTTCCTGCCTCCTCTGTCTCTGTTCTGTCCTCTCTACTTACATTGCCTGGAATTTTGAATTGCAGCAACAGTTACCTATGTTTACTTCTACCAGCTTGGCTGGCTGCTTTGTTAAACTAGAATTGTCAAGGACTGGTATTGTCTTAAATTGCTGTATCTGTTTGACTAGCACACCCTGAAGCTGACCTTTAGCATGGAACCAGGAATATCTCATGCTAAACGATCTTTGACATCACTAATGCTAACAAGATAGAACAAGAGCAGTGTTGTAAGATTTGTTTTTAATTATTATTTTTCCATTATCGGTACTCAAAAACTAGAAGAAAACATGCTAAGAATGAGCCTGGAATTGCCTAGGTTACCTCTCGGCTCTCCTAGAACTCTTTGCATGTGCAAGCATTCACTTATTCAGAGCAGTCTGAAGAACTGGAGTTTAAACTTGTCCCTGGTAACATAAGACCTGTGACACCAACAGGCTGTGTTGGTTGTGTTGGATGGATGAGAGAAGGGATAACCGCGTATGGTCTCGCATTATTTATATCCTACTGAAAACTGAACATCTTCCAAAAATGTGATTTCCATGGCAATTCTCTTCCCCTTTTCTTCACCAGCTGCTGTGCTCCATGCTTTGTTCTCTCACCTGGACTTTTCTCAGCCATTTGCTCCAGATCTGTAATGTCCTGAGGATTCAGCTTCTGCCATCCTCTCTGGCTGTCGATGCGGCTCGGCTTTGTGATTTGCTGCGTGGAAATGTTGTGAAAATCCTGGGCTCCCCAAGGCTACAAAGCAGAGGGCTGTTAACTTCAATCTTGGGGATGAGATACAAGAAAACAGAACAGAGTGCAGCTCAGAGGACTGCCTCGAGGTAGAAATGAAGCCGGTAGTTCTATGACTGTTAGCAGCAATCCTGTTCAGCATCGGTGAAAGCTACTCCAGCATGGCAGGGAGAGGTTAATTCCCTGAAAAAGAAATGCAGTCTGGACTAAGCTGATGCACTCAGGTCACAACAGCTAATTTCCAAGTAACCAGTATTGACTGGTTCTGTGTTATTAAATGGACCACAGCAAGTAGTATCTCACGTAGAGCTTGGAAATGTGCTCTGCTACTCTCCTTCTGCAAAGTACAAATCACTTTCAGAGTGGCTAAACACCCTTAGCATGTATGGAGCTGTGCAAATACACCCTTTTCAGCACATGAGGTTGGATTCCACTGCCAGAGACGGTCACTGCCAGCTCCCTGGGGCCACGAGGGGGCTATGCTGTAGTTCTGTCCCCTAGAGGTTCTTGAGGGGCCGTTTGCCCGTTGCTTTGATGCACGCGTTGCACAATTCGTTTTAAAAGACAAGTTGAAAATATGGAGTCACAGCCCGGGAAGTGCACTGCCGTTTGTCCCTATTCCTGAGGTGAAGGCAACTCTCCACAGCCCTGCATGGGGAGACTGTGTAACGGTTCTGCTGCCTGTAATTACGAAGCACGCCTTGTTTGCGTTTGCCTTTCCCACAGATGTCCACGCGTCCAAATATTTATGCAGGGCAGCATGCTTTTAAATAAAACTTGTTTGCTCGCTGTCTTTATATCCGTGGTCATTTATTTCGAGGAGATATATGCGGATACGCCATTTTTACGTTTGCTGAGCAAATCGCCTTTACGCATCCGCAGAGCTGGGTACCGCACCGAGCAGCGCGGCCGGGCCGCTGAGGGGGAGCCGGGCGGGGCGGGGCGGCTCCGAGGGGCGGGACGGAGCCGCGGGTCGCGGCGGGGCTGAGCGCGCAGCTCGGAGGCGGCGGGTGCTGCGGGTGACGCTCGGGGGAGCCGCGGCGGTGCGTGAGGGAGGGGCGGGCAGGGAGGGCGGCTGCTGCTGCTGCTTTCGTGCTCTTCTTTCTCCGTCTTTCCTCGCCTTGCCCGCTATTGTTTGCAGAGCGCGTCCGGGCGACTAAGAGCGCCGGTTGGTCTCCGTGTTTCTTTCCCCTTTTTCCACGCGGTCGCCGTGCGCGGAAGGGCAGCTGCCGAGCGCGGAGCCGCTGTGTGCAGGAGCTCGGCTCCCGCGGTGGGCTTTGCTCACAAAGGAGCCGCAATGTGCCGAGGCAGCCGCCAGCCCGCGGGGAAGGAGTTGGGAAACTGAGATGGGCAGGTAACCGGTGCCTGAATGTTACTGTTCGCGGTGATGCGTTAAAGCCCGGGAACACCGAAATATGTGTTTCGAGCAGTTTTTAGGCTGTGTAAATACTCTCAGAATAGCATTCTCGCGGCCGGGCCGCTGGCGCTCCCGGTGTCCCCGTAATAGCAGCGGGGTCGGTGCCCGAGGAGCTGCCCGGGGAGGCTGGGGGCACTGCGGGAATCACCGCCCGGCTGAACGTGCCGGTGGAACTGTGCGGCTTCGGGATGTGCAGCCTGCTGAGAGGAACGCGGCCGGTTACTTCTGGGGAGCGAGCTTTATTTTTTTGCACGGGGCGAACGGTGTGTGAGTGTGACACGGAGGTGAGTCTGAGCATAGAGGTGGTTTGAACACTACAGCACAGATGCTGCGGTTCCTCTCTGTTAACGCGGTCTGTTTCTCCCAGACAGGCTGCAGTGCCTGCCCCTGGGGCTTTGTGCGGTGTATGGAACTCGCAGTAGACGTGGTGTGATTCCTCAGTTCCCTCATGGGCTGCAAGTACCTGAACGGCATCCATGAATTTGTGCTTTGGTTTCCCTTTGTGTTATGAGCAGAAGCTGCTTTCTGGGCATCAGCAGGAGTGCTAGAGCACACAGAATTTGGGCAGCTGTAGAACTTCTTCCAGTGTTAGCTTGTTGGCAATGATTGCAAATAGAAGCTTCTTTGAAATCAAGGCTCCTCTGTGGGTTTGGGTTCAATTCACCATAAGGACTGTTCACCTGGGGCAGCACACCGTTTTGTATGCACCCAGCAGCCTTGGTCCAAGGGCACTCCTATTTACTCCGAAGTACGTACCTTCCTTCTAACAGAGTTCCCTCTCTCAGCTGTATTTCAGCAGTTTCTTCTGACTGAGGCAAAGTCTCCAGGGAGCCAGAAGCCTGCGCTGCTCTACACCAGATGTAGGTGTGTTATGACCTTTTGCGCATCACTCAATCTCCCTCTTTTTTTTTTTTTTTTCTTCCTTCCTTCTTATTTGTAAAGCATTTACTTTGCAGGCATGTTGCAGAGGTGGGGTTGGATAAACATTCTTAAAACTCCATCAGGAAGCATTGTGCAATGAAAAACTTAGCAACCAGTTTTGCTCTCCAATGAGCTTCAAAGTCTGGAAGAAACTGCCGAAAGACCCAGACTCTACTTTCATGTAAACTGAAGTGACATAATGTGTTTTGGTGGATTTACGTGATAAATGTGTCCAGAAAGCAGCATGTCAGAGCACTTTGGGGTAAGGCAGCTGGGTGCTGCACTGCTGCTGGTTGCTGCCTTCTCCTGGAGGAGTCCTGGGGTGATTCAGCTGGGCTGACATCTGCTCTTGGTGCTGAGGAATTGGGGTTTGTGTGTCCAGCTGTGTGTTGGAAAACAGTGCTCAGGATTTGGCTCGTGCCCCAAGAAGATGCAGCAGCAGCAGCACTGTGCTTGGGGTGCTCAGGAATTTGAGATTGTGTTTTTACCAGAAATGTTGTTTTCCACTGCTTGACATCAGTTGTCAAGGCATTACAAATTAAAAGAGGTGATGGCCCAGCGTGCCACAGGGAAAGCTATTGCTCCCTGTGAGTACACGGGAGTTCTGAGATGCAGCCTGCACAAGTGGCTCCTTCACATGTCCCAGCTGGCCAAAGCCCTCCACGTCCTGCTCTCACTTCAGTGCTGACCCTGCTTTAAGCAGGGTGGGGAAGGAGATGGTGACCTGAGGATCCTTGCAGGAGATGTGATGGTTTGGAAGCTTGCTGTGGCTGCATGAGGAGGGAGGATTCTTTTTTAAATCTTTTAAGACTTGGAGGTTGCAACATAAGATTGATATAAGGTTGAAGTTTAGTCTGCGTTTGTACATCTTCTAGGCTCTTTGTTTAGTGTAACTCTAGCTTACTTGGGGAAGCCATGGCCCACATGCTTCCATTTGAGCAGTTGAAGTGCTGCATAAAAATGTCTTGGTCCTGACATAGTGTTTGAGCTTTCCTGTTGTGAATGTAAAATCCATATGGTGTTGCTTCTTAATTGAAACCTGGTGGAGTTATTTTTAATCCTGCAACATGTTATATGAAATAGTCCTCATGCAGCTGACTTGAAAGGATTGCTTGTAATTAGATGTTTCTAATCAGTCGGTATTCCTTTCTGTAATGCTGTTTCTTTCTAACAAAAGTGATTTTGATTTGTTTACTAAAAAGCAGCCTCCAGCTCACCAGTGCCAGGCAGGAGTGCGAGTTCTGCTTATCAGTGAAATATTAAATAAAACAAGAAAATAGTAACTGAAAAAACTTCCTATATATCAAATATGGCCTGTATGATTTACTCATTACGTTATGCCCCAGGCTTGAGGTAGAAGTCAGCAGCATGGTTAATCATGTGGATAAGTCCTTCCAGGTCTGTTGTGCATTGAAAAAGCTTGTCTGAACTCAAAACCCATTGCTTGAAAATGTAGGACTCTAACTAGGTTTTAGGTTTGGATGTTTATAATACTTTCTGGTATTTGCTGTTTGGTAAGACCGTTAGGTCAGCTCGCAGGGGAGCGTGTTCTGTGATTGCAAAGAAGTTTGGAGAAAGAAATACAAAAGCTGATGTAGCTTAAAGCATATTCCCCAAAGCAGATTACTCCAGGAGTCTGGAATGTGTTGGTGGGAGGTTATTCAGTTTTAGTGAAATGTTGCTCTGTGCATGCAGGAGTTCTTCCCCTCCTAAATAATTGTTTCCATCTGCATTGCATGTTCCACCGGTGCCTGGGCTGTTGAGCTCTGTGCAAAATCTGAGGCTCTTGTTAAAATGAGTGTCTTTGTCACTAAATCTTCTGTGCTAGCTTTGTACGAGTGAAATGTTGGTATCGCATGGAAAATTAGGAGGGCAGTCCTCACTGGGGGGCCTCTTAAAGTAAGCCACGTTCTGGTCTCTTTTTCATGTCCTCTTAAAATTTAGAGATTGGAGCTCTGGGACCCTCAAATCCTCTTGCATAATGCCTGGCAATACTAATGTTAATTCACTGGTCTGAGTTAGTCATTTAGTTTTTAATTAATATGAAATTGTGTCCCTTTGTTATAACTGGAGATGTCCCAGACTGCTTGAATACTGTGGCTGCTGATGTGTGAGTGTCCACCTGAACGAACACACTGCCATCCTATGGCAGAGCCCGGACATAGGAGATAATCCTGACTATGCTGTATGGCTGGGACCCAGCACTTTTGTAACGGCTTGGCTGAGACCCAAGCACGTTTCTACTGCAGGAATTCCTATTTGTTGATTGTTGTAGTACTGAAGTGCTGATCTCTGTGTTCTTTTTTGCCCTTGTGCGGAACATGCCTCCTAGGATGATGGACTTGGATAGAAGTGGAGGACTGCACCAACATGTTACTGTTAGGCGTACTGTTAGAAAGTATCAAGGAGGTGAGGAACACAGAGGCAGGGTCCTGTGTGACCATCACTCTTACTGTTCAGTACTAGCTCAGTGAGCAGCCAGGGCATTGCTGGAGTAGTGACAGCAAGTTCCTGATCAAGTGGTTGTGTGTTGGGTTTTTTGCTTTTTTTTTTTAACAGTTATCCCTGCCAGGCTACCTAATGCAGCACCAGAGACCATTATAACTAAGAGCCAATATAATGACATACGTTATGAGTGTTCATCATTCCTTCAGCTGAGAGGCTGTATCACATCTGCACTCTTCTCTCTGAAGCACCTCAGTTGATGGCAATTAGCTGAGGTCCAGTGAGTGCCTGTTTCCTGGAGGAGGTGGCGTGGCAGATGTCTTCATCTTCAGTTCTTGCTGAACCTTCACCGGCCTTCATCTGCCATGGAGAGCACCTGAGAAGTCTGCTTCCTTTGGCTAGCCTGTGGTGTGTGGTCTGTGGGATGGCTGAGCAGTGGTACTGACCTGTTGCCTTGGTTTAAACCCCAAAGGGACTGCTGAAAATAATCCGGGTTTCTTGAGTGTCTGTTAGGCCTTGGGCCTAAGGCAAAGAGTAACACTCACAGCTGGGCATTGCCAGTGAGAAGTTGGTTCCCTTGCATTGCTGCATAGGGTGACTTCATAGCACAGAAGAGTGGTTTCCTCGTCGGTGCGGTGGGGAGGGAGGCTGGGTGTGATATCCAACCGAACGTGCAGCTGGCTAAGGTCATATGTCTGAAGCTCGAAATTCTGCTTCATTGCAGGGCTAAAATAATTGAAAATATCCTTTATCATCCAGGAGGGGAGATGACTGTGTGCATCGTGAAGGTGGTATTTGTTCTTTGTCTGGCTCCTCTGTAGTACAGGAGGAGTTAATGTAAGTTCTTGAGTGAACAGGAGCCTGTAGCTCTTGGTAGGACCATAGCAGGTGGCCAATATATAATGGAACTGGAAGGATATCCTCTTTTGGCAGCAAATAAATACAGCTTTGCTGATGAAAGTTGTTTTTCTCTGTCAAGG